TGCCCTCGGCAGGTTTGCGGAATTCCCTCGGGCTTCGCCCTCAGGGATTCCACAAACCTGCCTCGGGTTACGGGGCCATTTAATCACTAATCTCCCTCAAGCCATGCTATTACTTATAATAAACTGATGAGAGCACTGGATAAGGGTCTATCATCTATGGTCTGTTATAATTTGCTTTCTATGCAAATAGTGAGCAAAAATTAAAGCAAAACTGTACAAGTTACATATATAGTACTATATCAGTACTATACACGAACTTTTATCGTTGGATAATTTTGCGAGTTTTCATCCAATTCAATCATATTTATGCTCAAAATCCTCGCGGTAAGTTTCTCTTTACCATAAAATTTGACCGAATAAGTTTCAAAACAATGCGACGGCAAAAAATGCAAAAATCTTGATTTTCGTAATAGAATCTATAGTCTTTTTGCCCTCTTGTACCGCCATCTTGGATTTATCATGTAGGCCCCGCCTGCGCTAGGTATGCGTTAGCAATCTAGATCTCCTATATCTATGGGCGTACCGGGCAGTTGGCAGTCGGGCAATATTCGCTGAACAGTCGGGCAATTTTAGTTTATTAAAAAAAAATTTGACAAATTCTGTCAATTTTGTGGTAACTTTTGGTATGTGGTATGTCCGGAAAAAATTTTTGACCCCTAAAATGGTACACTGACCGAAATTTTTTTGGGGGGGGGGGGGGGGAGGTCGCCATGAGCAAAGTACAAGTAGTCTTGAAAAAAAATTCGTGCAGAGGTTAAGTGCATTAAAAAGAATTCCTGCAGACACATGAGACTGAAAAAAAAATTCGTGCCGCAAAAATTTTAAAGAAGAGGTTGGCAGAGTTGATTTCAAATTTACAAATTGTCCATTTCACATTTCAGTGATGTAATATGCTATCACTTATTATTCGAAATATAAAATAGAGAAAGAGTGATAAAATATATATCAACAAGACATGATCTGAAATAAGGAATTTGCCTACGAGGTTGTAGACTTGCTCCAAGTATCTCTTTTGTCATTTAGTATTGATCCACTATAGTGTACATTACATGACGTATTGCGGAGGGGCGGAGCGAGAAAGAGAGACTTGTCAACTTCGGAAAATCTCGGTTCAAAACTGAACCGAAAATGTAAGACTTGCTTTAATTGTTTTCTGTCAGTGTTTATATGTATTGATCTAAGACAGTGTAAATAACATGACTTCCATCATAGTAAATAATACAGAAAGAAATTGAAGAAAAACAGTTAAAGCAAGTCTTGTATTTTCGGTTCAGTTTTGAACAAGTCTCTCTTTCTCGCTCCGCCTCTCCGTGCTACGTCATGTAATGTACACTATTATGGATCGATACTATATGGCAATGAAAGAGAGACTTGGAGCAAGTCTAACGAAGTTGAGGATGTCTAATATATGTTTTATTATTAACTATTATCAGTAAATTCTACTTAATGCTATATACTTCCAGAGAAACGTTCTTCAAAATGGGGTGCAAGTGGGGTACCAATTTCCTTAAATCCATTTTTTACCTCGCAATTAAGTCAGGATCTAGTTATACCTCCACATCCTACCATCCTTACCAGTTAGGCCGCAGCACCACGTCAGTGTTTCCCCGGTATCCCAGAACACCGCTATCCATAGCTCCCACCAGTGATTATGCACTTGGTTAACGGTTGCACCCCAAATCACGACCGAGCACCCATCCCCCCTCTACCAGATTTAGCTGGGTCCATCCCTGCTTCAAAACCTGGTGAAAGCCTCGATGGTGAAAGCCTCCTACTAATCAGATTACACTGCCATATCAATATATAACTTACCTTTCCTGTGACTGTCATTGGCATATCATCAACAAACTTGATATAACGTGGAATTTTAAAATGGGCAATCTATCAAAAAGCAAAAATTTCATGCATATAGTAACTGTGTCTATAACTATGATGCTTCAGATTAGTCTTAAAATCCAAGTAGATACGTTTTCAAAACATTTCGGCTATAAGTTTATAATAGATTAAATGTTTGGTTTTCGTTGTTGACTTTTAATTACCGAAGGCGATTAATCGTCCAAAGAATGGTGCCTGTGCAGGAAGAGGAGTCATTTATGCGAGAAGCTGAAGTAAAACAACGAACGGTTCCAACAGCATGTCATTTCTCTGTAACCATAACTTCAGTTAGCATATCGTTTGTTGCATTTTCCTTCACTATTTATGGAATAGGAGAATGAAGCTGTAGTGCTATACAGTATGCAAGGCCAAACACAAATACTGACGTATAATAGATGTTGTATTGCAGTTTTAAACCTATAGAAACAGCCGTCTTTTTTGGTCTCACTGTGCACTTTTTTGTACACTATGTACATCCATCGTGCCGAGAGGAAAAGCATAGACCAAAGGACTGTATAACTGCTGTATAGCAGTACGTTTGAGCAACCTCGTTCCCAGGCTCTCTCCTATACGCTCTTGTCTTGCCAAAAATCTTATATTATTTGTACATTTATTAGTGTTAACAATTTCAAATAAGAAACATGCTCTACCTTTCCTTTGCAAAATTCCTTTATTTCATCTGTTGTAGCGGTCTCACCCTTCATTAATCTGCATACAATACAACAACACCAGATTAAATTCATGTCGAAAATATAACGATGATCTAGTTTTCCTTCCTTCATTAAAATAAGGCGAATATACTCACCTTTGACTCCTGTTCGTAATTATTACTAACACTAACTCTGGCCGTTATGGATTCGGGCGAAAGAAACGATGACCATGGCTCTTACCCATGGCTTTTTCTTCGCAAATTTTGATGGAAAATATAGAGCTACAGTATATCAATAAAATATATCTATAGTGATTCAAAATATTCTAACTAACCGAATAACTAACCTTATCCACGCGCAAACCTCCTCACCTAACCTCTTGTCTGGCACTCCAATAACCTGAAGAAAATATCACTATTTTACATACAACGCACACTGTTAATTTCAGGGAGTTAACTTAACTCCGGTGGAGTTATACTGTACCTCAATTAACTCCAAATGTGGAGTAAAATTAGGTTCAGAATAATACCACTGGAGTTAAATTAACTCCCTGAAATTTACAGTGCATGATCAGGCGTAGAAAAATATATTTCTTCCTGGCAGCGAAATCCAAAAATAAAAATTTCCTGCGCAAACCAAAATTAATGTAAAAATTCATCCATAGGTTCCAGAGTGGTAAACTTCATTTTCGACGCATGAAAATGTCGATCTAAAAACGGATTTTGATTTTTTAAAGAAGCAAATTATGTTGAATTCAAATACACAAGATGACAGAAAATTCCTGTGGGACGTAAGAAAATTTCCTGCGAAGATACTTTGTTGAAGGTTTTCTGGCAGCGGTGCTGCTGGCGCTGCAGGACATTTTCTAGCACTGATCATGATATCATTGTTAGGTGGTTGATGGGGTTGAGGTATATATTAGGCGAGACTTTTTTTATTCATTGGTTTACGGATCCGCCGACCGTAAATATTCAGAAAGTGAAAAATAAAAAAATAAAATTTACAATTTTAGTTAATTTTAATTAATTTGGGGTTCTGACATGAAGTACACTTCAAGTGAACTTTGACTCTAGGTACTGCTGGCTCATGTTATCGTTGTGACAATCAATGTGTAGATTAGCCACGTTTTTTTGTTGTTTTTTTTAAATTGACGTTAAAATATTTTATAAAGATTATTAATTTCGGTTCTCATTTATACTCAGTTCGTTTTTTTTTTAATTTT